GGCATCACAGCTCACAGCAACCTCCAACTCCTGGGCTCAAGCGAGTCTCCTGCCTCAGCCTCCCAAGTAGCTGGGACCACAGGTGCCTACCACAATACCTGGCTATTTTTTTTTGGTTGCAGCCATCATTGTTGTTTGGTGGGCCCAGGCTGGATTTGAACCCGCCACCGTAGGTCTATGTGGCTGGTGCCTTAGTCACTTGAGCCACAGGTGCCAAGCCTAAGCCATTTTCTGATGAAGAGACACATATTAATATAGAGGTGATCCCAGCTCCAAAATTGTGAGCTATTTTGGAGCTATTGTTCTTTACACAAGTAAAACGTGCAGGCACGAATTGTAGCCATTTTTCCCTTGATAAGAAACTGGAGACTAGTGAACACCAGTGTTCTAACTACTCAGTCAGGCATTCTGAACACCTGTAAGAAAAACCTGTGCTAAAGGTAGGAGAAAAAGTTAAGAGTCTTGCTTACCTAGACCAGGTGTCCTCAAACTACGGCCCGCGGGCCACTTGCGGCCTGCCTAGAATATTTACCCAGCCTGCGGGGTGTTTTTGTTGCTACTGACTGTCCTGCTTAGCAGCTGACTCATCCCAGGGCCTGGCAGTCTGGCCCTCCAATGGTCTGAGGGACAGTGAACTGGCCCCCTGTTTAAAAAGTTTGAGGACCCCTGACCTAGACTCTTTAAGGGCACATGAGAAGGTCCTGTGGCAATTTCTGATCGCTAATAACTTCTCATGAAGGATACAGTAAGCTGCAAGAACCAGAGATATACTTACTTTTAAGTTATGAGCCCTAAAAAGCAGTACCTTCTGGGAATGAAAAATATCCCAAATCTGAACAGCAGTTAATTCTGGAAATCATGTTAAAAGTCACCAAGGAAATGGAATAAACGGTAGTGATCCATGGATGATAGAAATATTGTGCTTTGGGTGACGCCTGTGGCTCTGTGGGTAGGACACCAACCCCATATACCAAAGGTGGCAGGTTCGAATCTGGCCTCAGCCAAACTGCAACAAAAAATAGCTGGGCATTGTGGTGGGTGCCTGTAGTCCCAGCTACTCGGGAGGCTGAGGCAAGAGAATTATATAAGCCCAGGAGTTGGAGGTTGCTATGAGCTGTGTGATGCCATGGCACTCTACCAAGGGTGATAAAATGAAACTCCGTCTTTACAAAAAAAAAAAGAAATGTTGTGCTTTTATTTTCTATTTTCTTCTTTTCTGTATTTCTTAACTTTCTAAAATGCACATATACTGTTTTTGTAATAAAGGTTATCTTTAATATTTAAAAAGAGAGAATATTTCACAGAGAAAACAGATGCTTGCCTATAGAAAGAATTTCAATACAAACACGTTGTTATTATTGTTATTATGTTAAAGCAGAAATGCAGACACTTGCCAAATGTGGTGGTGGCAGGAGTGTTAAGTTCTGATAATTAAAATACATCACATGAATTTAGATGAATATATAAAGTGATCTCTGATGTTTTCAGCTCTTAGAAAGTTTAGAGATTTTGTTTCCCCTCTCATTTCAGGGATAACCCTATCTCTGGTAATCCACTGAATGTTAATGCCACAAGCTTCCTTTCTAGTCATTGGAAACTATTTATTTCTTTGTAGCAGTAAGAACAGCTTTCAAAGAAAAGAACTATGAAAGCCTCTATTCTTGATGAAAGAGCCACAAATCCAGATCGGGAAAATCTGAGCCGCAAACGAGACATCTCTGAAATAAGAATACCATTAAATATAAACACAAAGCAAGAAAAAGGATGACTGTGAGCAGCACCACGACCTTATGACGAATATTCCTTTAGTTTAGGTCTTCATATACCAGGCTAGTTAGTTTTTTTGAGACAGAGTCTATGTCATCCTCAGTAGAGTGCCCTGGCATCACAGCTCAGAGCAACCTCAATCTCTTGGGCTTAAGCAATTCTCTTGCCTCAGTCTCCCAAGTAGCTGGGACTACATGCGCCTGCCACAATACCTGGCTATTTTTTTAGCAGGCTTGGGCTGGGTTCTAACACACTAGCTTTGGTGCCTGTGGCTGGCACCCTACCTTCTGAGCTATGGGCCCCTTGGTTAGTTTTTCTTTAATATACATGCTTTACATCGGCCTAGCCTATAGGAAAGTTTCTTATTGTTCTTCTACCTGTCCTTAAAACATTTTTTTCCTTGGTCGTGGGATCCTCAGGTACCTTGTTTGTGACCCATTCCTAAAAGGCCTAACTCTGAGCTAGATGTCAAGAGATGTCACTTGTGGGAAATACTGTTACTATACTATCTGACTTTGTTTCTACTTAGGTTTTTCCTTTTCTAACAGTGCCCTGATTGGGCAGGTAGTTGATTATGCAAGGCTGGGTTCTTCCACCAGTGCCGGGGGTGAAGCATAATGGGCCAAAGCCAGTTAAGTTTTTCTTTTGAGATAGGGTCTTGCTTTGTCTCCTGGGCTACAGTGCAGTGGTGCCATCATTGCTCACTGAAACCTCAAACTCTTGGGCTGGCGCAATTCTCTTATCTGAACCTCTGGAGTAGCTGGGAATATAGGTGTGTGCTACCATACTCAGCTAATTTTTCTATTTTTTGCTCTTGCTCAATCTGGTCCAGAACTCCTGTCCTTGAGTGATCCTCCTGCCTTTGCCTCCCAAAGTACTAGGGTTACAGCTGTGAACTGCTGCACATGGCCCAGTTATGATAACTTTTTTTTTTTTTTGCTAATGATTGGTTTAGGATGTCTACATGACATGATACATTTCTGCATTTATTACCTAGAATCCAGTGTCACCTTCACCAACATAAGGATAGCAGAGGAGAAATATGGAAGCACTGGGACCTTGATATTGTCACCGAGACACTTTAAAAATGTTTTGGTGGTTTTTCTGTTACTTGCTGAGACTATCCTATCTGATGGTCCACCAAATCCCATCATGTAAGTTGTTAACTCTCCTGATACTGTTTTAATAACCATGCAACCATTCATTGAGTAAAATTTTAGGTGCAGGCACTTGCCTGGAACTTTAATAATAAAATATGTTGAGGGTGGCACCCATAGCTCAGTGGGTTGAGCCCCAGCAACATAACACTGAGGCTGGCGGGTTCTAACCCAGTCCAGGCCAGCTAAACTAAAATGAAAACTGCAACAACAAAAAGAAATAGCCAGGCATTGTGGCAGGCACCTGTAGTCCCAGCTACTTGAGAGGCTTAGGCAAGAGAATAGCTTAAGCTCAAGAGTTTGATGTTCTGTGAGTTGTGACAATATGGCACTATACTGAGGGCGACATAGTGAGACTATCTCAAAAAAAATAAATAAAATAAAATATGTTGAGACTTACTCAAATTTTCCTGTCAAGGAACTTATCATCCTCGTCTTTTTCTGTCTCAAACACCTTTGTAAACTGACAATTTCTTTCACTTGCTTTATCTCATAATCTTCGAAATTACCTTCTGAGTTAGGCAGGAGAGGTATTCTAAACTCTATGCAGCTGACGAAAGTAAAGTTGTAAATGTCAAGATTACCAACCGGGGCCTGGCATGGTGGCTCACGCCTGTAATCTTAGCACTCTGGGAGGCTGAGGAGAGTGGACTGTCTGAGCTCATAGGTTCGAGTCCAGCCTGAGCCAGAGCAAGACCTCTTCTTTAAAAATAGATGACACAGGCGCCTCGAGTCCCAGCTACTCGGGAGGCTGAAGCAAGAGAATCGCTTGAGCCCAAAAGTTTGAGGTTGCTGAGAGCTATGACGCCACGACACTCTACCAGGGCGACAAAAAAAAAAAAAAAGATTACCAACTAGTAAGTGGCAAGGCTTGGGAAGGAGCTCGAGTCTCTATTTCCAAATCTCTGTACCACGGCACCCAGTATCAGTAACTCGGGGAATGTCTGGCATTAGGGTAAGTTGAAAGTGAGGTATTACGAGGCAAACAACGTCCTGTGGGGCTAACTAATGTCTCTACTCTCGCTAGAGGTCTGCCAGGGGGTCTGAGCCGAAAGTGGCTCGGTCGGTCTGCAGCCGCGGCGTACAACACATAATGCCTCCAGAATATTTTGGATGCGAAACTAGCAACCCGGCAACCAATCTGAACTTTGTGAACTTACAAAAAGACACCCCTTTACATTCCACTGCTCCACAATTCTCCCAAGACACAGCAGGCTGCTTAGGTCAGTCTAGGCCCGAGACCCTGGACTCTCATTCACTTCACCCGGGCCAGGCCCAAATTTCAGGCCCCCAGGGCACTGCTGACAGAGCCCGTATTTCGTTACCGCTTCTTTTTGAGTTCTGAAGTCGCCCTGTTTTGTTGCTTTCCTTCTTCTCGACACATTACGTTCCTCAGGGGTCAACCTACCACTCCACTTCACTGGGTCTACAGGTTCGGAGCTCAGCGGGGAGACCCCGTCAGCGGAAGCGGAAATTTAGAGAAAAAGAGGAAACTACATCGTTCTTGCTCGGTGCACGCTGAGTCCTCAGTTAAGAGGTTCGATTGGTTAACACAACAGAAGGACTGCCCCCTCGAGAGCACGCTGACCAATCAAAGGGCAGATGGACATTGCGGCAAGGGCCAGGTCGCATCCGGCGGCTTTCCCCGCAGCGCTGCGGGGGGGCGGGGGGAGTATGGGAGCGTGGGAGTTTTGCAGTGGCTGCGGCCTTCGCCGTAGCGTTTTCGTTAGGCGTAGTTTTCTGCTTTGTCTGCTCTGGCAGCGCGAGGCTGTCATTAGTCCCGGATTGGTAAGTGGGCCCTTTTCGAGATTGGGCCAGGGAGAGGAGCCATTGGCTCAGGTTCTTAAAGGGTTTGGGCAGAATCGAGGGAGGCTTGTGGGGTGCGTAGAGGAGCTTTGCAGCAGAACTGGCCCCATTAGGGACTGTTCTCTCCCCTTGCAGCTTTGTCCCGAAGTCCCTTGAAGGCACCCCCCCATTCCCCCAGATGGCGTCCACGCTCGCGACAACCGAGGCCCAGGTGAGATGCGGTACCTTTTTTTCCATCCAAGTTCGTCGCTAATTTCCTGTTCTGAGGGAGTGTGTCTGATCCCCTAATAGCCCTTTCATCAAGCTATCTTTATTTCTAGACTAGGGACATAGAAGGGGCTTACCAGTTTCTTCCTTTGTCAACCACCAACTGGGAGCAGAGCTCTTTGGAGGCGTCTATAGCAGAATTTCTCAGAGTGTCTTTCTGGAATGCTTTTCAAAATTGCAAATTTCTAGTCTTTACCCCACACCTGTTGAATAATAATAATAAAGCCCAGGCGATTCTTAATCACACACCATTAAGAGAGGTCATGGGGAAGAAAAAAAGGACATAGCAAAGGGAAGGATGTTGGGAGAACCCTGGAACCTTTATCTCTTTTGTGATTCTTCTTGGGCTGCCCAGTTTAATTCTTTCTCTTTTAGAGCATCCTTATTAATGGTTTCCATCCCCAAGAGTTGCTACCTCATCCATTGTTTTCCAAAATAGACTACATTATTCTCACACCACTGCCTCAAAATTTATGCCCATGTTTAGTCTCTTCCCAACCCCCACCTTACCCATAAGAACCCATTTATACCCCATCCCAGTACCCAGAAACCTTTTACACCGAGCCCTTTTCTCCCTTGAAGCAGATAATGTTTCTGGTTCTGCTCAGTCTTGGTAGAATGAGAAAGAGGCTCCTCTGCAGCCTCTTGTACTGAGTTGTACTCCTGTTGTTTAGGGACCAATGCTGTTTGAAGATCTGGCTGTGTATTTTTCTCAAGAGGAGTGTGTGAGTCTGAACCCTGTCCAGCGGTCCCTCAGCAGAGATGCCACACAGGAGGGTTTTGAGGATGTGGCCTTGATGGGTAAGGCAATTGTTTTTCTTGCATTTTAGAACTTTAATCAGTTCTAGGAGGAGGATTTCATGCCTTGTCCACATGTTTGTGTGGGAGAGTGAGACTTGTCCTTAGGTGATTTATGTGGATGTGATAATTGAATGAAAGAGCAAGTTTTAAAGCATGACATCATTTCTTTTTTTAAATTTCAGGTTAATGTGAGGGTACAGACAAGCAAATTACAATATTTGAATTTGTTAGGTAGAGTTATTTCTTTTTTCTTTTTCTTGAGACAGAGTCTCACTCTGTAGTCCTGAGTAGAGTGACATCATAGCTCACAGCAACCTCAAACTCTTGGGCTCAAGAGATCTTTTTGCCTCAGTTGTTCTGTTTATAGTAGAGAGAAAAGTAGGTCTTGCTCTTGCTCAGGCTGGTTTCGAACTCCTCATCTCAAGAGATCTACCTGATTTGGCTGCCCAGAGTAATAGATTACAGGCATGAGCCACCTTGCCCAGTTAGTGAGGGATTTCTTTCTTTTCTTTTCTTTTTTTTTTTT